CACATACATACATACATACACACATACATACATACATACATACATACATACATACATACATACATACATACATACATACATACATACATACATACACACACACACACACACACATACATACATACATACATACATACATACATACATACATACATACATACATACATACATACATACATACATACATACATACATACATACATACATACATACATACATACATACATACATACATACATACATACATACATACATACATACATACATACATACATACATACATACATACATACATACATACATACATACATACATACATACATACATACATACATACATACATACATACATACATACATACATACACACATACACACATATATACACACGGTCACATACACAGACACACTCTCACAGACACACACTCTAAGACACACACGCAGACACATATAAGCATACAGATACACAAAATGACACAAAAAGACAAAAACACACGCAGACATTTGTAAATAGACACACATAGAGACACACGCAGCCACACACACAGACACACCTACAGAAACACACACATCACACACACGCAGACACACACACGCACACTGACATAAACAGACACACAGAGGCACACACACATATACAAACGCACACATAGACGAACACATATAGACATACACATAGAGACATACACATACATCCACACACCCAGCCACACACACACCGACAGACACACACATGACACACACAGACGCAGACACACACACGCACAGTGACATACATAGACACACAGATGCACACGCACACTCATACAAACGCACCCATAGACGCAAATATATAGACACGCACATAGAGACATACACAAAACTAACACACCCAGACACACACGCTCAGACACACACATGACCACATACACAGACATACATAGACACACACAGACACACACAAAGCTACACAACCAGACAAACCTGCAGACACATACACAGACACACACATGCAGAAACACACACAGCCACCCATATAGAAACACATACAAACACACACACACATAGACACGCACCTACAGACACACACGCACACTTACACGCACACAGACACACGCAAAGACACGCATACAGATACACACATATACTCATAAACACACGCATATAGACACACACCCATAAAAACACCAAAACAGACAGACACACAGAAACACGTACACAGACACACACAAGCACACACATAGACATGCACGCGGACACCATACGGACTCACGCACAGACACACTCACAGGCACACGCCCACCCACAGCAACATACAAACACACATACGCACACAGGCACACAAAGACATACACAAACTTATAAATGTACCTACACACACACTTATATGTACACAGAATTATACATACACAAACGCCTACACATTCATACTTGTCACGCATTCATGCATATCATACACACTTTATTTTAATATAAACCGGTAATGCAATATGTATACAAACTTTTTGTGTACTTATTATTTTCTTAAACTTACTATTTTTACTTGAACCTTGTTATCTGGAAGTGAAAAGTAAATTTCCTTGTTTATTTTATAAGTAAAGTAAAGTAAAGGACCCTTTTCCACACCTGTAGTCGTAAAGGGCATATAGGGCTAGACCTATATTTTTATAGACCAATCGGCACAAGATGGATGTATTACCAACAGTTAAGGTGGCAATCCTGTGACCTCTTCTCTTTCCTCTTTTATTTGATTTCGGTTGCAACCGTTTCACGTTTGAGGGACTATCTCGGCTTTCATCAACGCAATCTCATGTTGAAGCTTATTTGTGTGTCTGCTGTAGCGACGCTTCTAGTTCTGTTCTTGAAGCCTGGTTGTTCTGGGAGCCTCGTATCTCCCTAGTTACCTCTGGATAAGGATCGTTTCTGGCGACGGCAGTTGGCAGCGCTTTCTTGCAGTCCTTGTGGTGCTAGCAGCGCAGACAGCGTGGGCTATGGGCACCTAAACAGTTGTTGCATTTTCTGTTGGCGTTCGGCTTCTCAATGGAAGACAACAAGCTGGAGAATTATAAACTATGCAAGTTTTTGCTGATGGTTAAATATATCTAAATATGGTCAGACCTTATTGAATTTTGCAAGGGCCTTCCTTATCTTTCATACAAACAATAAATCACAGAATAATAAAGATAGATACGTTTATTTTGTACTTATTTCCATCTGATGGTCGCTGACTTTGGGTCAGATTTACAAAGAACGCCAAATTTATCAATAAATTACATCAGAATGAACATTTTGATGGAAGGGATAATGATCTCAATGCAGTCGCTGGTGATACGGTTATTTCAAACCCGGGTAGTTGATTCTGGCGATCATGAATTTAGCCCACAACTAGTGTCAGCCCTGACGAAGAAATAATTGTACACACCATCAAACTGAGGTTTCCTGTCAGAGTTCCCCCACCCCTGCACTATTCCAAAACCTTCGTTCACCTTCCTGTCTTCCCTGTGAAGCACGACATACATGTGCACAACCTTTCTCTCTCTCTCTCTCTCTCTCTCTCTCTCTCTCTCTCTCTCTCTCTCTCTCACTATCTCTCTCTCTCTCTATCTCTCTCTCTCTCTCTCTCTCTCTCTCTCTCTCTCTCTCTTGATTTCCTTATAAAATTTATACTTAACACTTAAAATAAGAACCTCCCAACCCATCACGTTGTCTCTCACAGACCCCTACCTCCCCATCCACACCACTGACCCCACCCACCCCACTGATCAGGGCCACCACAACTGGCAGTTAGCTCGGATGACGCAAGCAGCCTAGTAAGAAACGCTGAGTAAATTTTTATGTAAACTGCGTGAAAGCACCTTACTTACTATAATAAAAAAGTCAAGTAAAGATCCATTTCCACGCCTTTAGACGCATCGGGCACATGGGAAGAGCGCCCATATTTTTACAGACCATCAGAACTCGATATGTAATGTGGTCAGCATTACGCTAGCTATCTTTACTTTCCCAGGACAGCCCATCCTGGTACTTATTCTAGGCTGGGCCGACCTGCGACGCCCCATACCATGATACAAATCCACGCAGCCAGCAGTGGGTTTCGATCGCGGTACGCTGGGTTACGAGTCGGACTCGCAACGCCTAGGCCACGGACGCCGCCCTTACTATTATAAGGTTAAGAAAGTAGGGGGAAAAGGCAAAAGAACCCCCCCCCCCCCCTTTTTCCCCCCACAAGTCCTCACCCTCCCACCAGAAAATATCGCAAGCAAAATCCCTACCACTCCTGGGTGACTAATTTATAACCTTTTGGAACAAAAGTTCGTTCAGGCGTCGTTTGTTTGTCCATGATTTAATCATCCAATATTGATAGACATATAGTCACAATTCTATAGTGCCCTTTAATTATTGATTTAAAAGTTATCCGCACTTGCTTTGCTCTCAATTCACACTACCTAATTACCATCAACTTTTTAAAAAAATCCAATGGCTCTTGAACTTACAGTTATTTTTTGATAGTAACATTAAACAATGGTTTATTATTTAATAAATTATATACTAACACCAACTGATATATCTCTATCTAACCAACAGGTGTCTATTATCACACACTTTCCTGGATGGCTTCTATGCTTGCAGATTCACTCGGCTTGGTACCTCAGCTTTCTCCTTGTTACTCGAGATGGTTCATCACTGCTGAGTTCTACTTCATGAGTACAAGGCAGCTAGCTCAATCATTCACCAGCTCCTGTGCCGGACATATTTATAAGGATATGTAAAATATGAAGTACTCTAGCATTTATAGATGTTGATAAGAACAGCAAGGAAATTATTGTACACTAAGTGCAGTTATACTATTGCAGCACATTAAAGTGTTATAAGATAACATAGGCGTACTGTTAATGCAATAGCGTTACTGACATAATCATAAATTCCACATCAGTGCTAACTGACTTGAAAAAAAAATGACATCTAAACACAATCTTCTACACTGCGCTGTCGTTAAAGGTCAAAAGGAGATTTTTGAACATCTTGTCAAAGTTGGAGCAAATATTAATGCTGAAGATGAAAATAAGCTGTCACCTCTACACTGCGCTGCCGTTAAAGGTCATAAAGAGATTGTTGATATTCTTCTTAAAGCTGAAGCAAATATTAATGCTGAAGACGAAAACAAGCTGACACCTTTACATTGCGCAGCGGCTTTTGGTCATAAAGAGATTGTTGAAATTCTTCTCAAAACTGGAGCAAATATAAACGCCAAAGATAAGTACAAGTGGACACCTCTACATCGTGCTGTTGACAATGGTCACAAAGATATTGTTGAAATTCTTCTCAAAGCTGAAGCAAATATTAATATCAAAGATAAGTACAAGTGGACACCTCTGTATCGTGCTACCCATAAAGGTCATACAGAGATTGTTGAAATTCTTCTCAAAGCTAAAGCAAATATTACTGCGGAAGATAAGTACAAGAGAACACCTCTTCATCGTGCTTCTGATAATGGTCATAAAGAGATTGTTGAAATTCTTCTCAAAGCTGGAGCAAATATTAATGCTGAAGATAAGAACAAGTGGACACCTCTACACCGTGCTACACATGAAGGTCGTGAAGAGATTGTTAAAATTCTTCTCAAAGCTGAAGCAAATATTAATGCTAAAGATATGTACAAGTGGACACCTCTGCACCGTGCTACCCATAAAGGTCATGAAGGGATTGTTGAAATTTTGCTCGAAGAGGAAGCAAATATTAATGCTGAAGATAAGCAAGAGTGGACACCTCTACATCGCGCTACCCATGAAGGTCATACAAGAATTGTCCAAATCTTTCTCAAAGCTGGTGCAAATATTAATGCTGAAGATATGAACAAGTGGACACCTCTACATCGTGCTACCCATAAAGGTCATGAAGAGATTGTTAAAATTCTTCTCAAAGCTGAAGCAAATATTAATGCTAAAGATATGAACAAGTGGACACCTCTACATCGTGCTACCCATAAAGGTCATGAAGAGATTGTTAAAATTCTTCTCAAAGCTGAAGCAAATATTAATGCTAAAGATATGAACAAGTGGACACCTCTACATCGTGCTACCCATAAAGGTCATGAAGAGATTGTTAAAATTCTTCTCAAAGCTGAAGCAAATATTAATGCTGAAGATATGAACAAGTGGACACCTCTACATCGTGCTACCCATAACGGTCATGAAGAGATTGTTGAAATTCTTCTCAAAGATGGAGCAGACATTAATGCTGAAAATACTGACAAGCGGTCACCTCTACATCTGGCTGCCGATAATGGTCATAAAGAGATTGTTGAAATTCTTCTCACAGCTGATGCAAATATTAATGCTGAGGATACAGACAAGCGGTCACCTCTACATCTGGCTGCCGATAATGGTCATAAAGAGATTGCTGAAATTCTTTCCAAAGCTGGAGCAAATGTTAATGCTGAAGGTAAAAACAAGTGGACACCTCTACATCTGGCTGCCGATAATGGTCATAAAGAGATTGTTGAAATTCTTCACAAAGCTGGAGCAAATATTAATGCTGAAGATAAGAACAAGTCTACACCTCTACATCTGGCTGCCGTTAATGATCATAAAGAGATTGTTACAATTCTTTCCAAAGCTGGAGCAAATATTAATGCTGAAAATGAAATCAAGCGGACACCTCTACATCTGGCTGCCGATAATGGTCATAAAGAGATTGTTACAATTCTTTCCAAAGCTGGAGCAAATATTAATGCTGAAAATGAAATCAAGTGGACACCTCTACGTCTGGCTGCCACTAAAGGTCATAAAGAGATTGTTGAAATTCTTCTCAAAGCTGGAGCAAATGTTAATGCTGAAAGTAAAAACAAGTGGACACCTCTACATCTGGCTGCCGATAATGGTCATAAAGAGATCGTTGAAATTCTTCACAAAGCTGGAGCAAATGGTAATGCTGAAAATGAAATCAAGTGGACACCTCTACATATGGCTGCCGTTAATGGTCATAAAGAGATTGTTGAAATTCTTCACAAAGCTGGTGCTAATATTATTGCTGAAAATAAAATCAAGTGCACACCTCTTCATCTGGCTGCCGTTAATGGTCACAAAGAGATTGTTAAAATTCTTCTCAAAGCTGGAGCAAATATTAATGCCGATGAAGAGAACAAGTGGACACCGTTACATTTGGCTGCCCGAAAGGGTCATAAAGGGACCGTTGAAATACTTCTCAAAGCTGGGGCAAATGTTATTGCTGAAGATAAAAACAAGCAGACACCTCTACACTGCGCTGCCTTTAATGGTCATAAAGAGATGGTTGAAATTCTTCTCAAAGCTGGAGCAAATATTAATGCTGAATATAAAAACAAGTGGACACCTCTGCATTTGGCTGCCATTGAACGTCGTACACAAATTGTCGAAATTCTTCTCAAAGCTGGAGCAAATATTAATGCTGAAGATATAGACAAGTGGACACCGTTACATTTGGCTGCTGTTGAAGGTCATAAAGAGATTGTTGAAATTCTTCACAAAGCTGGTGCAAATATTAATACTGAAGATATAGACAAGTGGACACAGTTACATTTGGCTGCCGTTAAAGGTCATAAAGAGATTGTTAAAATTCTTCTCAAAGCTGGAGCAAATATTAATGCTGAAGATAAAAACAAGCGGACACCTCTATACATGGCTGCCTATAAAGGTCACAAAGAGATTGTTGAAATTCTTCACAAAGCTGGAGCAAATATTATTGCTGAATATAAAAACACGTGGACACCTCTACACTGCGCTGCCTATAAGGGTCATAAAGAGATTGTTGAAATTCTTCACAAAGCTGGAGCAAATATTATTTCTGAAGATATAGACAAGTGGACACCGTTACATTTGGCTGCCGTTAAAGGTCATAAAGAGATTGTTAAAATTCTTCTCAAAGCTGGAGCAAATATTAATGCTGAAGATAAAAACAAGCGGACACCTCTATACCTGGCTGCCTATAAAGGTCACAAAGAGATTGTTGAAATTCTTCACAAAGCTGGAGCAAATATTATTGCTGAATATAAAAACAAGTGGACACCTCTACACTGCGCTGCCTATAAGGGTCATAAAGAGATTGTTGAAATTCTTCACAAAGCTGGAGCAAATATTATTGCTGAAGATATAGACAAGTGGACACCGTTACATTTGGCTGCCCAAAATGGTCATAAAGAGATTGTTAAAATTCTTCTCAAAGCTGGAGCAAATATTAATGCTGATGAAGAGAACAAGTGGACACCGTTACATTTGGCTGCTCAAAATGGTCATAAAGGGACCGTTGAAATACTTCTCAAAGCTGGGGCAAATGTTATTGCTGAAGATAAAAACAAGCAGACACCTCTACATCTGGCTGCCGTTAAAGGTCATAAAGAGATTGCTGAAATTCTTCTCAAAGCTGGAGCAAATATTATTGCTGAAAATAAAAACAAGTGGACACCATTACATTTGGCTGCTCAAAATGGTCATAAAGGGACCGTTGAAGTACTTCTCAAAGCTTGGGCAAATGTTAATGCTGAAGATAAAAACAAGCAGACACCTCTACATCTGGCTGCCGTTAAAGGTCATAAAGAGATTGTTGAAATTCTTCTCAAAGCTGGAGCAAATATTATTGCTGAAAATAAAAACAAGTGGACACCTCTACATTTGGCTGCCGGTAATGGTCACAAAGAGATTGTTGAAATTCTTTTCAAAGCGGAAGTAAATAATAATGCTGAAGATATAGACAAGTGGACACCTCTACACTGCGCTGCCGTTAATGGTCACAAAGAGATTGTTGAAATTCTTCTCAAAGCTGGAGCAAATAATAATGCTGAAGATAAAAACAAGTGGACACAGTTACATTTGGCTGCCGTTTATGGTCATAAAGAGATTGTTAAAATTCTTCTCAAAGCTGGAGCAAATATTAATGCTGATGAAGAGGACAAGTGGACACCGTTACATTTGGCTGCTCAAAATGGTCATAAAGGGACCGTTGAAATACTTCTCAAAGCTGGGGCAAATGTTAATGCTGAAGACAAAAACAAGCAGACACCTCTACATCTGGCTGCCGTTAAAGGTCATAAAGAGATTGTTGAAATTCTTCTCACAGCTGATGCAAATACTAATGCTAAAGATAACGACAAGTGGACACCTCTACACCATGCTGCTGATAATGGTCATAAAGTGATTGTTAAAATTCTTCTCAGAGCTGATGCAAATATTAATGCTGAAGATATAGACAAGCTCACACCTCTACGTCTGGCTACCAATAATGGTCATAAAGAAATTGTTGAAATTCTTCTCAAAGCTGGAGCAAATATTATTGCTGAGACAAAACAAGTGGACACCGTTACATAAGGCTGTCGCTAAAGGTCATAAAGAGACTGTTGAAATTCTTCCCAAATGGTAAGGCAAATGTAAATGCTCAAGATAAGAAAAGTGGACAACTACACCACGCTACCACTAAAGGTCATAAAGAGACTGTTGAAATTGTTCTCAAAGATAGGCCAAATGTTAATGCTGAGGATAAGAACAAGTGGACACCTACATCAGGCTACCACTAAAGGTCATAAAGAGACTGTTGAAATTCTTCTTAATAGTAAGGAAACACATAATGCTGAAGATAAGAGCAAGTTTGAATAACTACGTCGCGCTGCCGCTAGTGGACATAAAGAGATTGTTGACATTCTTCTTACAACTAGGACAAATAATAATGGTGAATGTAATGAGGGAACTCATGGGAAACTTCCTATGACATGGCAGAGCAACAAGGTCACCAAGAAAACGGGATGCACATACTAATAGATTGTCGCAAGGAAAGTAAATAGTTACAAACCCAGACTACGTGCAAAGGGACCAATGAGTTAGAAGGGCAAAAGAGAGAACAGCTGTTGTGTAACAGGGAGACATTATCCTTTGTTTGTAGAAGGCACAATGATATGATGTACTGAAAATCAACAAGTTTTGGTAACCTTGACATTCCCTTTTCCAGAAACCTCTTTTTCCGCCAAAACTAGCTGTTGACATCAAACTCATGTTGTCTGGCCTTGACATTTTGTCAGGAAGTTTTAAATGCATTTTTTTTCCTCAAGTGACCCAACCTTGTCTTACTAGTAAATACCTTGTTATCATGCCCTATCAAAGCAAACGCAATTGTACTTGTTTTTTAGAAGCTTCTATGACCTCAATTGTCAATTTAACTTCAATAGTTGCGCAGAAAAAGATGATGAAATCCGATGAAATCGAGATATTTTTAGAAAATCCCACGTGAGAACCTATCTAGTAAACAAAATGAGACGTACTAGAATATTCTAGAAGCAGAAAAAAATATTCTAGAAGCGAGAAGAAAACAAATACCTAGCACTCCAGCATCCAAGTATAAATAACGAGTAACAAAGCACCTAAAAGCAATTCTTCAGTCCACAAGACTCAAGAGAGGAGAGACCAGTCACATGGGCTCTTAAAGCAGTCTTCAGTCGTAGATATGTCAGATTAACTCAACGAATGCCTTCAGTCGTTGAGACTCAGAGGACGAGCAACTAGTCTCAATGATTCTCGCAGTTTTGGAGATGCCAACTCAACCCTAGAGGGAGAGGAGCCAGTCATATTTAGCCTCGAAGACAGAGCAGAAATGAAACAAGATATCCAACTACAGAGACGACACACAAGATACCTGGATCCATTTTTAACAGAGACACATTAGGTAGGAACACTGTAAGATGTTAAGAGTCGACGATCAATTCTTTAGTACCAGACAGCACTAGAAGCCAGGTGGCAGTAACTGACACTAGAAACAGTTAACAAAGTAACTGGAGATAAAGAAAACAACGCGAGCCTACGTTTATTTAGCAATAGAGAGAACACAGCGCTATTCAGAATATCATTTTCATCATCATCAGGTGCCCTGCCGACTGGCGTGGGCGATCATGCCTCTCCATAATCTGCGATCTCCTGCAGCATGCACCAGTTCGTGTACCGACACACCTCCATGCCATGCAACAAGACTGTCAAGCATCTTCTCTCGTTGTCTTCCTCTATCTCTTCTTCCACATATCTTTCCAGTGGTCACAACATTTTCTATTTTCCCTCTTCTCATAACATGGCCGAAAAATGATGACCGTCTCTTTCTGATGTTTGTGATAAGTTGTCTTCGGGTTCCCGCCTCTTTCAAAACCTCTTGGTTGCTCTTTTTGGCTGCCAAGGTATTCTAAGCATTCTTCTGTGAAACCACATCTCTGAGGCCTCAAGAAATTGTTTGGCCTGCCTACCGATTGTCCAGGATTTACAGCCATATGTGAAAACTGGATTATGTAGCAAACAAGAGTTCTTTTTCTAACTCTCAATGACAAGGATATATTGCACAAGATGTTTTTCATTTTATAAAATGCAGTTTTCGCTGTCGTATTTTGTTTCTTATCTTATTCATGCATCTTCCATCTGATGTTATCCATGTGAATTCTGAATATCATTGATGTTATTTTGTGACATTGGTAAAGTATCACAATAAAGACAGTATAGGCAAAAGCAGTTGTTTCCAGCCACTTTATTATACAATCATCAGAGCCACGTGAGAAGCATGCAGATAGTGATACATCGTCATCATCATCGCCACTATCGACCCGACCATCTTTCTCCTCGTCTATAATCTTCCAATCGACTCCTCCTGTAGCAAACCTAAAGACGAACCTGGGTGTGACAACAACATACGCAACAAAGAAGAGAGCTGTGCTACAGTTGGTTTTTTCGACAGGAGTGGAAGCGGTCAGAATGTGCTGAGCGGAAGAATAGACTTTGGAATGAATGTCTGCATCGTGAAAGCAAGTGGATGGCTGCAGTGTTAAATCCATGCTGTCACTTGTTTAGCACCAGCCAACATCCTAGCCTGATGTCACTTGTTTAGCAACAGCCAACATCCTTACCTGATGTCACTTGTATAGCAACAGTCAACATCCTAGCCTGATGTCACTTGTTTAGCAACAGTCAGCATCCTAGTCTGCTGTCACTTGTTTAGCACCAGTCAACATCCTAGCCTGATGTCACTTGTTTAGCAACAGCCAACATCCTAGCCTGCTGTCACCTGTTTAGCAACAGCCAACATCCTAGCCTGCTGTCACTTGTTTAGCACCAGTCAACATCCTAGCCTGCTGTCACCTGTTTGGCAACAGCCAACATCCTAGCCTGCTGTCACCTGTTTAGCACACAACATCCTAGCCTGCTGTCACATCCTAGCCTGCTGTCACTTGTTTAGCACCAGCCAACATCCTAGCCTGCTGTTTAGCACCAGCCAACATCCTAGCCTGCTGTCACTTGTTTAGCACCAGTCAACATCCTAGCCTGCTGTCCTTGTTTAGCACCAGCCAACATGCTGCTGTCACTTGTTTAGCACAGTCAGGCAGTTTCAACATCCTAGCCTGCTGCTGTCACACACAACATCCTAGCCTTTGTCACCAGCCACAACATCCTAGCCTGCTGTCACCTGTTTAGAACCACACAACATCCTAGCCTGCTGTCACCTGTTTAGAACCACACAACATCCTAGCCTGCTGTCACCTGTTTAGAACCACACAACATCCTAGCCTGCTGTCACCTGTTTAGCACCAGCCAACATCCTAGCCTGCTGTCACCTGTTTAGCAACAGCCAACATCCTAGCCTGCTGTCAATTGTTTAGCACCAGCCAACATCCTAGCCTGCTGTCACCTGTTTAGCAACAGTCAACATCCTAGCCTGCTGTCACCTGTTTAGAACCACACAACATCCTAGCCTGCTGTCACCTGTTTAGCAACAGTCAACATCCTAGCCTGCTGTCACCTGTTTAGCACCAGCCAACATCCTAGCCTGCTGTCACCTGTTTAGCAACAGTCAACATCCTAGCCTGCTGTCACCTGTTTAGCAACAGCCAACATCCTAGCCTGCTGTCACTTGTTTAGCAACAGTCAACATCCTAGCCTGCTGTCAATTGTTTAGCAACAGTCAACATCCTGCTGTCAATTGTTTAGCAACAGTCAACATCCTAGCCTGCTGTCAATTGTTTAGCAACAGTCATCCTAGCCTGCTGTGTTAGCAACAGTCAACATCCTAGCCTGCTGTCAACAGCCAACATCCTAGCCTGCTGTCATTGTTTAGCAACAGCCAACATCCTAGCCTGCTGTCACCTGTTTAGCAACAGTCAACATCCTAGCCTGCTGTCACCTGTTTAGCAACAGTCAACATCCTAGCCTGCTGTCACCTGTTTAGAACCACACAACATCCTAGCCTGCTGTCACCTGTTTAGCACCAGCCAACATCCTAGCCTGCTGTCACCTGTTTAGCACCAGCCAACATCCTAGCCTGCTGTCACTTGTTTAGCACCAGCCAACATCCTAGCTGCTGCTGTTTCAACATCCTGCCTTTCAGTTTAGAACCACACAACATACTAGCCTGCTGTCACTTGTTTAGCACCAGTCAACATCCTAGCCTGCTGTCACTTGTTTAGCAACAGTCAACATCCTAGCCTGCTGTCACTTGTTTAGCAACAGCCAACATCCTAGCCTGCTGTCATTGTTTAGAACCACACAACATCCTAGCCTGCTGTCACCTGTTTAGAACCACACAACATCCTAGCCTGCTGTCACTTGTTTAGCACCAGCCAACATCCTAGCCTGCTGTCACTTGTTTAGCACCAGCCAACATCCTAGCCTGCTGTCACTTGTTTAGCACCAGCCAACATCCTAGCCTGCTGTCAATTGTTTAGCAACAGTCAACATCTTAGCCTGCAGTCACTTGTTTAGCAACAGTCAGCATCCTAGCCTGCTGTCAATTGTTTAGCAACAGTCAACATCCTAGCCTGCTGTCAATTGTTTAGCAACAGCCAACATCCTAGCCTGCTGTCACCTGTTTAGAACCACACAACATCCTAGCCTGCTGTCACCTGTTTAGAACCACACAACATCCTAGCCTGCTGTCACTTGTTTAGCACCAGCCAACATCCTAGCCTGCTGTCAATTGTTTAGCAACAGTCAACATCCTAGCCTGCAGTCACTTGTTTAGCAACAGTCAGCATCTTAGCCTGCTGCTTGTTTAGCAACAGTCAACATCCTAGCCTGCTGTCACTTGTTAGCAGCAACAGTCAACATCCTAGCCTGCTGTCACTTGTTTAGCAACAGTCAACATCCTAGCCTGCTGTCACTTGTTTAGCACAGTCAACATCCTAGCCTGCTGTCAATTGTTTAGCAACACACAACATCCTAGCCTGCTGTCAATTGTTTAGAAAACACACAACATCCTAGCCTGCTGTCACATGTTTAGTCACCACACAACATCCTAGCCTGCTGTCACCTGTTTAGCAACCAGCCAAACATCC